TGTAAGGTAAAATGGTCAAGTGGCACATAATAACTAAAAACCTCAAGTGCTGAACAGGGGTGAGGGAAGCGGGAATGATTGCGGCGATCATTGAAAAAAACTACTAAAATGGTTGACTGTTGCCAGAGTTAAGTTTCGAGTTGGTTACAAGCGAATTGTTAACAGCACATCAATGTGAGGAGCGCTGATATTAAACAACAATAAAAATCCCGCTATAAAATGCACTCCAACACGCAGCAGTTCTCATTAAAATAGCAGTAAACTAAAAAAAAACTTTAGTTATTTTTTTTTATTTATTCAATAAAGGGATCGATATTGATCTCTGCGAAAAATATGGGGGTATAAAAATTATAAAATTGTTTAAGCTTTTAAAAAATTTTTAGAATTTTACGGTTTAGGACCTTCATCTTTTGGCTTAAAAATATGCATTAAAGGTCAAAAGCTACAAGGAAATATTCTTAACAACTATTTACATTGATAAAATTTCTTTTAGAGATTGAACTATATTTCTAAAAAAACTAAATTTTTAATAATTAAAGTCAACCATCATATTATCGATTGAAAAATATTGATTTTACCATGAATTATTTCATAATTAATCAATTTGTATGAAAGAATCTAATTGGCATTAATATAATAGTAAAGAAAAATTGTATATTTTTTTCTTCTTAAATTCTCTAATAATATGATCAAATACGGTGCATTTCGGTCCATATATAATACATTCGATAATAGTTTGACGCTGGCCCCACACAGCGGAAGATTTTTGATTGAGAAGCAGGCGAAAAGCCTTAAATCTCATGCAAGGATTAGCCCGCGTATGTTTTTTTCTCTCCCGATTCGATTAAAAACAAAACGTATGCATAGTCAACAGAACTAAGGCTGCGACTACCCAACGCGCGAACCAGCCGTCCATAGTAACCTATCTTATGAGAGCGCCATGTAAACACAAAGTTGTCACCGCTTGCTCACGCTGTTACTGACGGTTTTCCCGCAGAAACCAGCGGCGAGGTTGCCAGTATTGACTTTTTAAACTAATATAAAATAATCGAAGATAATGCGTAGTTTTTTTCAAAAGAAATGAAAACTAAATTCGCTATCGCAGCTGAGAGCGTTCCCCCATCTCACATTCTAATGTTGGCAGCAGTGTCAGATCGGGGAACATTCAACATCTGATGTGCAAAAAGCACCAGTGCCACTATGCCAATAAAAAAATCCATTGTTTTTGTTTCAAAAGAAATTTGCTTCAGCAGTAAATATTAAAGAAATTATTGTAATTTTCAAAAGAAATTTGCTTCAGCAGTAAATATTAAAGAAATTATTGTAATTTTATTACTAAAACTTAATATAATTAAATACTGAATTGCTTCTCAATGAAATTTTTCAGTGAAATTGCAATTAAAGACGTCGTTGTTTGTAATAAAATACCCAAAANGCAACGCTATGGTAAATCGGTGACAACTTTGTGTTTACATGGTGCTCTCATAAGATAGGTTACTATGGACGGCTGGTACGCGCGTTGGGTAGTTGCAGCCTATGGGAGGAAGAAATGTAAGATGAGTAGCTGCAGATAAATAGAATCGTTAGTTATGCTGCAACTACCCATGGTTTCTATGGATGGAAAGTTATGTATGTAAGATGTGTAGTTGCTGCATAATATGATCGTTAGTTGCTCGCATGGCGTACCGTGAATTGATCCTCTTACTCCCTCTTCATTTAATATAGCATGCCTAATTCAGAGCATAGAGTGCTAAAACTTAAACAACAACAGAGCGAGAGGGATTATTCGAAAGTAGAATGGAGAATAGGGAGTCACTTTAAATTCGCAGAGAGCGCCTACAAGCACATTTTTACTGAGTTGTTTTAGCCATGTCTTTCTGTCTGACTTCTGGTGGGAGATTTCTTTTGATATATTGATCATTTTTCGAAATCGATCAGCTCGAACCACTATGTCAAATATATGACCTACTCTTCAATTTCTGATCTCGGGTTATACATTATGACAGTATCTCTGTTAAATATTGGCTCTAAAAATCATCGAGGTCGGGAGACTATATGAAATTTTAGATAAAAATCACCAATATAAATAATAAAAACTCTGGTTGATATCCTGGAATCCCTTTGCTGTTTGTATTCTTTATGTAGTGTCATTGTTTATTTATATATATTTGTGACAGGTATATACCTCCGAAAGCGTTGGTCCGAGAGTAATACCAATACGACATGCAACCTCTGAGGAACTCCGCATATGACGTTGACAGACCAGCTATATAAGGGAGAGGTTGCAATACATAGTGAAAGAAAATCCGAAACATCATAACATTTCTAAGAATAATTAATGAACTTCTTGATAACGACACCTGGATGTGACAAAATTTCTCCAATATATTAGTACCGTGGGAGAATAGAAAAATTTATATATAAAGATGAATACATAAACATAAAATGCAAAAAATTTAATTTTTTTACTCCATTACTATTTTCATGCCCATTGCTGTATGAATGCAAATAATTTCGTGTGTATTGTTTATAATGATAGTACAAATTGAAAATAAAGACTGCAACAAAAGTTAATATGAAGCACTTGCGGCTGGGCGAATATCAACAGCAAGTGACCGCAACAACAATAATAAGAAACATTTTGAATATTCTGTATGCCAACTGTATCAAAACAACACTAACAATAATATTGAGCAAACACAATGACACTTGAATGCATATATGTATACAAACATACGTTTATAAAAGCCATATAAATGTACGTACTTGTTTTTTCATCTGTGTATGTGTCCTTTCAAAAATGTATGTATGTACGTACGAATGTTTTTATCTATACGAGATAATGTTGAAAATTTGTTTTTTCTTGTGTACGCAAAAACTGATTATCGTTTTAAAGCCACAGCCCGGAAATGCTTCTGTAATTTTAAGTGCAGGTAGGCAAACAATTCTGAATTGATCCCTTCACTCCAAATATAAATGACTAAACTCATTCGGGATGTGCAATCGCAATTACAGCAACACATATGTACATATGTACAAATGTATGTGCGTATGCATACGAGTATGAGTGCGTGTATTTGAATATTTTAATTTATTTATGACTATTTTGGGACCTTTTGGTTAATTGTTGTTTTCTTTGTTGTAGCTGTAGTTGCATTCGTGCTCGTCATTGTTGTTTTTGCTTGTGTTTGCGTGGATTGTTTTGCGGTGGTGTTTATTGGTCGCAAAATTTTGCAACGCATAATGACGTGTTAGGCAATTTAATTGATCAATAATGAAACCCATAGAGCGACTCCAGGCCAATGCAATGCACGCTTCGGTTTGGACACTAATTTGTTCTAATGCGTGAAAAACTGTATGGACAGTATAAAGTGTAGTTAGTTGATTTTAAAACAGTATTTGCGAGCTGTTTTAGTGTGAATTTAGTGATTAAAGTAAACAAGGTAGTCCATTTTGTGGTTAAGAAAATAAACCTTAATAAAATGTATATAAAATATTTTTTTTTATAAAATGTTATTTTCATTTTAAAGTTTGAACGTTGAATCTATATATGAAATACTCCATTGTCCAAATGACCATCTCGTGAATTTTTTAAATCTCTTATCTGCTTAATTCAATTTATTAAATACACCTTTTAGACTCAAACTTATTTTATGAATACTTTATTGCATTGAAGAGTATCGTATAAAATGTACACTAGTTGCGCAGATTGTGCCGTTAACGCAAGGTAATCTTCAATTAATTTTGTAATATATCTCAAATTTCTTTGAGAGTAAACCAAAGATTTTCGAAAACCGCAAACTTTTTATAGAATATTTGGCACCTCGGATATGTCAAAAAAAAATATTAACGCATAAAAAGACCGATAGATCTACCACTCTGCAGTTCAGGGATTGAGTCCTCTTCGCACCAATATTCAGAATAATAGAAATTCATTTTCCTAGTTCCGGTTGGATCTCAGCTGCGGATGCATTTCTGATATGAAATAAAAAGCTCTTCATTTAAATTTTTATTATTATTCTTTGTCTTTATTTTACTATTTTTAATATTGTTTTAATCTAATTTGACAGTTTTTTTCTTTCAAATTAATTTATTTGATAATTTTTTAGTTAAGTTTTGTTTTAATCAATGTTACGTTTTGATATTTTTTTAAATATTTTTTTTAATTTTCGCGTCATGTTCGGTATAATTTCTATTTTTAAATGTAATTAAATTTTTTAATTCTCTTTTTTTAATTTCTTTTTTATAATTAATAAATTTATTATTATAAAAATTATTATTATTAACTTGTTATTAATTTCTGAGAGTTAAACTGGTTCTGGCCATAAGCCATCAACTTTAATAATAACAAAATAATTTTTTATTAAGAACATAACCTTTGTCATTTTCCTTTGCTTTAACAAAAATATTCTATACGGACAAAACGAATAGGTATTACGATCATTAACAGTAATATTAATAGTTACTGTTAAATTAAATTATAACAATAATTTAATATAATTTTATTTAATTTAATTCAGTTTTTATTTAATTCATATACCGCATAATATATGTTTAATTTTGTATTGATTTTAAGTTTTTTTTGTTCCTTAAAAAAATTTCCTTCATATTTTGTTCTAATTTTTTTATTCAAATTTGTTTTTACAATCAAAATTATACTTACTAAGAGCAACTTTCTAGAAAAAAGTTCAACCATATCGTGATACTCCACTTCGTTCTTCCTCCCTTGGTTATTGGTTAACCCATAATAACGAAAGAGAGAGAGAGAGAGAGAGATAGAAATAAATCATTGTATTCGAAAGTATATTGATTGACTATGTGATTGGCTTTATTTGCGAGAAGTCAACAGCGATTAATGCGTCGCTTATTTTGAGCCAAGTAATAATATTTCTCCCCAATATCGTTATCAGATAACTGTAAATTTTTAAAATGCGATAATCCTACAGCTGAAGTTGTAGAGCAGGCTGGTATAATGGCATTTATCCTTTGGCGTTGATTCATTACTTTATATGAGAAATCCGTTGCTTTGGCTTTTTTGGATCATAGTAATTCTCATTTTCGTTTAATTCGGGTAGTCCTGCAGCACCCGAGAAAGCTGAAGGATGGTAGTAATCCTCATTGTTGATTAAGTCTGGTAGTACTCCAGCACCCGAGGAAGCTGAAGTTGTAGTTAGTTTCGGTCTAACGGGATATTTTCTTGAGCATTGAATCGAGATATGAGTACTCCGCTTTTTTGGCACTGGTTCATAGTGTGTCTTTTCAAATTCCGATTTTCGCTTCACAGGCAGGCACTGACTTGTACTCAATTTGATGGAGCTTGTTAATGGAGCACGAGTCTGGTCAGTGGATATTGCGTTTTCTTTGCTGATTTGAGTTGGATTCAAAATCTGTTGTTTGCGTCGCTTCATATGTTCTCTCTCCGACTCAGTATAATGTGGCCAGTCATCTTTCACGTCATACCACACATTCCGCCGTAAGTTGTACACGTTGCCTTGGAGTACGGCAGTGGCCATAAGAAAATTAGGTATTAAATCCCTTGCGGAATATGGTAAGCCGTCAGTTTTAAGGCGCGCAAAGAGCTCAGCCAGCCCGAAAGGTTTTGTTGCGAGTAAATGGATAAGCTTTTCACGAATTTCAGATCGTGCTTCTTCAGATAACTTCTCCACTATAACTGGTCGCAATGCAGTATTACTGGTTTTAACCATACCTCGATTCGCTCTGGTGTGTCGTACAGTGGACGTTGCTAGATTACGCCGGTCTAACGATGGGGGTTGCATACTCTTCGTCTGATGTGTGCGATGCAATTTAGATGATCTCATTTCGCTTTCTAAGAATTTATTATACTTCGCTATTGGCTTCATAATGCTATTACGATCAGCGAAATTATTATCAAACGAGAGTACAATTCTTGTATTTGTGTCGCAAGTCGTTTCTTTTTTTGTTTGGTTTTCTAGGTTTACTAAGCCTCTTCGGAGTTTAGCTCAAGACTGTGATAGCCGAACAAAGGTTTGATACTTTTATAGTATTTTTTAGATATTTGCACGAATTCGAAGATTTTGGTCACGCTCCCTAATTAATCTGTTAACGTGTGTATGTATGTATGCGGTATTTTGCCCATGGTTACGCGCACTTTGTGTCCTAGAAAATTCCGCAGGGTAAGCGTGTGTGCAGTTTTCTGCCTGAGTTCTTGCATGCATGCAGGTACATGACGCAAATCTAGCAATTCACTCTCTTTGTTCTATACCTAACTTACATTATGGGTTTTTTAACAATCTCCATGTTAAAATACTAATAAGTGGTTTTAACTAAATCGCTTATAAGAGATTGTTAGGACTCATCCATTGCACAATGCCGTGATTATGTTTATTTATTATTTTAAGGCTGCCTGAGGTCGTTTGAACTTTATTTTATTTTTTACAAATTTGATGGGTTATGACCAGAACCACTTTAACTCTTAGAAATTTGTACTTAGAATGAGCTCTTAAATATTTAAAATAATAACACGTCAATAATAAAAATATTAATAATAGTAAGCAAATATGATATAAATAAGAAATTAAAAATAAATTTAAAATTAAAATAAATTAAAAAACAAAATTTATAGTAAGCGAAAAATAAAAAAAATAACTGTGAATTTCTAAATTAATTATAGATTAATTAAAACAAATCAAACAAAACCAAATTTAAAAAAAAAAATAAAACATATTGAAAAATAATCAGTTAAATTAAGTTTAAATAAAAAAATAAAATCTTCAAATTAAATCAAAACAAAATAAAAAATTAATAAATAAATACAAAGAATAATAACCAAAAATGAATTGAAACTATCAAAGCAAAACTAAATGAAATTGAACAACTAAATCAAAAATTTGCTCTAAACAATTATATAAAAAGTAAATTAAACAAAATATAGACAACAAATAAAAATTAAAAAAAAAATAAGTTGACGGAAATTAAAATTAAAAAAAAAAAAATTGAAATGAAACTATTGAACTAAATTTAATTAAAATATTATTCAAGCAATTAAAAAAAAATTGAATAAAATATAGTATAAAATAATCTTTAAAATAAAAATATGGTTTTTATTGCGTGTATGGATTAATTCGTCCGGTTTTTTTTTGAAAAATAAGTCTTTGTTGTGAAAAAATTATTTTAATCTTCTGGAAAGGGTTACTTAATCAACTCCTAATGTGTTTGCAAGTTCTTCTTGCGTCGAGCAATGTCTCCAATTCTTCGTCTTAAAATATTTTTGGCTGTCCGGATCGTTCTCCGTCGTCTAAGTCGAAATTACCACTTTTAAACCGTGCAAGCCACTTTTGGCCCGTTCGTTCGTTCCAGTAAAATACGAAGGCTTTCGGTAACACTTTTCTTCATTTTAAAGTAATGAAGAAGAACTCCCCGCAAAAACACATTATCTGGTACAAATATTCGACATTTTCAAATGAATGAAACAAATTTTTGTTCACGCTGAAACAACTGGCACCTACTGAAAACGACGCTAAATGACATAACCTTTGAAATTAAAATAGAGCCCTAAAACAAACAACAAAACAAAAAAAAAATAAAATAAAATAAAAGAATTAAAATAAAATTAATTAGATAAAAATTAATTAGATAAAAATTATATGAACAAAAAAAAATATGATAGAATATAATAAGAAGTTATAAAACAATAAAATAAATACAGAATAACAAATAAAACAAAATAAAAATATTATATATTAAATTATCGGTAATTAAATCCATTTCTATGAAATGGAATTAAAATTCAAATTTTATAACAAGAAGAAATAGAGGAATAAGAATATTTTTAATTTAATTAAACTAAATTAAAATAATTTAAATAAAAAAAATAATTATTAAAAAAAATAATTTAAAGCTTAAAATGAAAATTTAATTAAATTAGAAAAGATAAAAATCATAAGAAACAAAATAAAACTAATGTAATTTAGATATTATATAACATAAAAAATAAAGCTACACAACTAAAAGGAAATAAAATGAAGTTATAAAATTATAAAATAAATAAAAAATTATAAATCAAATAAAAAGAATAAAACTTATATTAAATTATAGTTAAATAAAAATTTAATAAAAAAAAAGAAATATAGGAAGACGACTAAATTTCATTAAATTAAATTATTATAATATAATAATAATTATAAAAAAAATTAATAACAAAACTAAATAACAAATAATAAATTTAACAAATAAAAGGAAAATTTAATTTAAAAACAGAATTATTGAAATCTAGAACTTAAATGAAATAAAGAATTCGCTGAAATAAAGAATAGGTCGATATAAAAAAAGAATAGACCAAAAATAGAAGAAAAAAAAAGTTATTTAAATTGGAAGTCGAAAAAATATAGTATTTAATTTGAATTTAAGATCGGAATGAATAAATAAAAAACCTCACGAAAGAGAAACAACAACACTATCCTTAGAACACAACATGGCACATATTAAATATGACTACATGCCACCAAATTTGCATAGGACTACATGAAAAGTTCGAAATATACTCGCTTTGATTTAAAATTAAATACAGATTGACTAAAGCGAAAGTTTTTCCTTGGGCTTACAAAAGTGTTGTAAAGTTAAAGCCAAAAACCAAAGGTAAAGCACCGTTGTGCATGCACATATATTAAATTACATTCTACATACACAAGTCTATATTTATATATGCATATTTTAGATTATTTAAGCTTCATGTGCAATTACCTAAATATGTGTATGTATATGTACTTACTAAAATGTGTGATAGACATATACCGGTTGTATGCTTAGTACCTTTTCCCAAAAACCGCAACAACTTTAGTTTTAAATAATAATATTACTATGCTATAGTTGAAAATATATATAGCATACTTTACACTTAATATTTATTACATATATTAAATATACTCATATGTAAATACGCATGTCGGGAAAACTTGCCTTTTTAACTTTTCCAACGTTACCAAAAACTTTAGGCAACTGGGCAAGTATGAATGTGAATCGTTAACGTGAGTCATTTCATTTTACATCTGCGGGTTGATTCTTAAATATTTATTTTTCGCTTTGGTTGTCTAATAATGCATTTGATATATTTTTTAGATTTTTTTTCTCTGTCCTTGTTTGATAAATTGCAAACAAAATTTTGCCATTTTTTGCTGTGCTTCAGTGTCCTAAAACAGCACGCAACTTTTTTTTTCTTATTTTTAAGTACAAACGCACATAGTTACGAGCTAACGAACATTGACTTTGAGACAAATTACTAATGAAGACCCGAAATAAATAAAATGGCTGTTGTCCTTTCGTATCCCTTTTTTGTACTTTGGCAACCAATAATTTTCCAGAAATTATATTGCGGGCTTTGTTTATTTTTTTGTTGACTTTACGCCCATTTTAAATATTTTACTTTTCAATTGCCTTTTTATGGTCACAGGCACTTGAAATGCTCATTTGCGTTTGTTTTTAACTTTTACTTTTAGCCAACACTTATTTATTTGACGGCGTTTAAAGTTCCATAAAAAAACATCTTTTTTTTGTATAACTTCTGTTTTAAGAGACCATTTTCTCGACTACAGCGCAGCCGAAGTGTGTATGCAGGGGAGTCTTTTAAATTAGCATAAAGCTCAGAAATATTTTGTCTATTGACCTGCCTCATTATTGAGGGCAAAAATCGAGTAAGTAAAAAAAAATATAGAAACTAAAATAAAAGACTTTCCAGCGTCGCCTCTTATCTATGCCCATTTGTTTTTATATTCTTCTTCTTACTTCTGTTTTATTTTCTCGATACGTAACGTTTTTTCCGCTCATTTTCAATTGAGTCACTGTGATTAATTGCCTTCCAATTTGGCGACCACGCCAAAGACAACGAAAAACAAACAACAGCAATAAAAAAGCAGTTAAAATAACAAACCTATAGCAAAAAATACATCATAAGGATGACACTGAAGCCAGAAAAGGGATAGGCGTGGTAAACGAAAATGCGTAATAAAGTAAAAATAAAAAATTGTAAAATAGAAAATGATTTCTGTGGAATTCTGCACGCGACGGATCTGTTTCATTTCTAAATTTCCTAACTAAACAACCATCAACCAAGAAAGTAAAAAAAAAAAATTAAAAAATAAAAAATAAAGGAAATTACATCGAAAGCTAGAAATCATTAATACTGACTTTCCGATTGTAAATGGTTAGGCTTTGGGCTATTGGACGCAAAAAAGATTCACAGCAAATTTAATTAGGCGCGCAAAAGCTTAACATATTGCCGGTTCTGCGGGCAGTTTTTATCTTTTAGCTAACTTTCACGCTTTCCTTTTTTCTTAAAAGTCAATTGTCTCGCAAGAAGTGTTGTCTGCTGCGTTTGTTCGTTTGAGTAGGGTATGAAGTGAGTAATGAGCGCGTAGAAGAACAAGAAAAGGGAGGTACAACTGAAGAGAGGTCATAAATTATTAGACTAATTATTGCTCGCACATCAAAAAAATACGCTGAAGAAGGGATCCTAACTAAAAGGAAAAGTTGCGTTAATATATGATAGCTTTGTTTTGTATATCAAATAAAGAAATTGGTGCGCCAAATCTTTTTTTCTGAGTAAATAGTAGTTGAAGAATCAAGAAAAAATTTTCTTTACTATTACAACAAATTTGAACGTCGAGCAAGGGGTTTAGTAAGTTTCTGCTTCTAGCGCAATGGCCTATTGAATTCGAAGCTTTAGTTTGGATATGTGAAGGTTGTCCATCTGTTATTTTAACGAGTTCTTTGCGTATATTATTTGCTTCAATATTCTGACAGCATAACCTTAATTTTTGAGCCACTTGAAATAGTATATTTTGCA